GCCCCCCCCCCCCCCCAACACCCCAAATCCTTTCACAATTAGTAACATTTAATTTTATTGGCGGCTCGGAGTATGATATTCGAAACGAAACGCACGAATGATTTAAGTAAGCTGATTTCAGTTCATCTTTTTAGAAGTGCCTTTACTACTTGTGCAAGCTCTAGATCTAGATCTATTCATTTCCCCTCTTCTATGATGTCGTCCTTGCACTCTCTGCTCCGTTATGACCCGACCACGTGACTTGCCGTCGGCCCTCCTGCTTATGAATAATTCATTAAAAGGGCAACGCTCGGTTTACTTGTTAGTGGGGAGCATTGTTCCTCGCGAGTCGGTGTGAAATCTCACTAGAAGCTGAAGCAGAATCTTTTATATATATATATATATACATATCATGTACACCCTAAAGCTAACCAAAGCCGAGTGTATAAAATGTAGTATTTGTAAATGGCTCGATTGTCCGTGTGTTATGAACGAACTATAGAGCTCATTTTGAGGTGTGTGTTTGTGTTGTTTGTGTTTGAAATTTCTGTTATGTTAATATTGTTAATGGTCCGAGTTATTGCAGAGCTTTAATCGATACCCGGCTGTCCGTACAGAAAGGGTTCAGATAGGGGGTAGGGGTTAGAGTTCGGTGTAGTGACGTGCTTGTGTGTGTGTGTGTGTGTGTGTGTGTGTGTATATATGTGTGTGTGTGTGTGTGTGTGTGTGTGTGTGTGTGTGTGTGTGTGTGTATGTGTGTGTCAGGGCAACCCTTCATGGCCCAGTGACTGGCACCTCAGAACGGCATTAATGGACTATAAACCCCTTGTCTCATGTACGTCCCCGCAGTCAATAACTCGAGGTGTCAATTATTCATGCGCGTCAGGCAACCACAGAATGCAGGTCATGACGTTTAGATGGGATCTCTGAGGACGTTATAGATTTGTTACATAATTTCACAGATCGTCACTCTGGCGTGTTTCATTTGTCTCTACAATTGCAATGAATGAAATGCTACCCCCACCCCTCTTTTCCTCTTTAATTGCCCCCCCCTTTTCCGAATAAGTAAATAAATAATCAAAATGAAACAAAATAAGCTAATTAATAAAGAACAATTAGACTTACAAAATACATAAAATTAACAAAAGACTGAATCTTATCTTTCTCTAACAAGTGCCATTAACCATGAGTAAGGGAGAAAAAAAATCAACGTAACACTTACTTTGTTTTTCTTTAGTGCTTCAGTATAAGCCATAGGAAATGTGAGAATTGCCTGCCCTTGCCGGAAGCCATGAAGTCTCGAGAAGAGGAGGTAGCTGAAGTCATGGTCAAGATTCGCGGGTTTGGCTCTGACGTCACAGCTAATGGCGGAGAGGAACAGTACGAGAGTGGGGCGGACGTGTTGGAAGACTCGGTCAAAAAGGCTGAAGAGACGATCAGGTTTGTGGGATTCCTTGGCGGGTGTTTACAATGGTGTCTTGGTGACGATATCTGACAGTATTCAAAGTAAGCTGAACTCGGTGGACTACCCTAAGTACGACACAGTGTGTAACGGCAATGAGCGGCTGTAAGCAATTGTGGGTCATTGCACCTCTACCTTTGAGCCTGAGATGGCACCTTCAGGTATCCACGTAAATGTGATATTCTCGGAGATTTGGGAAAAGTAACTCTCGACGCTGCTGCCCCCGCAACATAATATTAATCATGTCATTTAACTTAAAGTGCCGAAGATTCGAGGTGTTACGAGAGAGCCCCCCCCCCAAAAAAAAGAGAAAAAGAAAAAGAAAAGGAAAAAAGGCGCTTTCCCCCAACTCTTAAAACAGCTCGTCTTTAATTATCGTTCTATGTCCCATAGACCCACACGTGACCCCACAGAGAGTTAAGAGCCCAGATGTGTGTAGTAGGTCAAATAAGTTTGGAATGGTGGCCTCTAGTAGACCTTTATCACGTATTTCGCCAGGTCGCTGGCTGAGGAGATGAGACAGAGGATTGAGAGAAGTGAGGAGGAGTTGTTAGAACGACTTCATTCTGTGAGCCTACAGTTACAGGACAAGGTGTGTCTGTTTATCAGTGTGTTTGTTTCTTTGTTTTGTCTTTTTATCAGTTTGTTTGTTTGTTTGTTTTGTCTGTTTATCTGCTTGTTTGTTTGTTTGTGTGTCTGTCAGTGACTCTGCCTGTCAGTCTGTCTGTCTGAGAGTGTATGAATGAGTGTATACATAATTAAGTGTATGTCCCTCTTTTCTCTGCCTTACTGTCTATCTATCTATCTATCTATCTATCTATCTATCTATCTATCTATCTATCTATCTATCTATCTATCTATTTAACTGTCTTTCTGTCTGTCTGTCTGTCTGTCTGTCTCCCCCTCCCTTTCCCTGTCTCTCTC